CCGACACAGGCAACTGGTAAGGGTTGCCGCGTGAACAGAACGTGGACGATTCGTCACTAGTACAGCACTATAGTGTGCAGTGTATAGTGTAGTGTAGTATATAGTGTAGTGTATAGTGTAGTGTAACGTGTAGTGTATAGTGTAGTGTATAGTGTTGTGTATAGTGTAGTGTATAGTGTAGTGTACTAGTAGTGTATAGTGTAGTGTACTAGTAGTGTATAGTGTAGTATACCAATACACCACTAGTACAGCACTAGTGTATAGTGTAGTGTATAGTGTAGTATACTAATACAGCACTAGTGTATAGTGTAGTGTATAGTGTAGTATACTAATACAGCACTAGTGTATAATGTAGTGCATAGTGTAGTATACTAATACAGCACTAATGTATAGTGTAGTATACTAGTACAGCACTAGTGTATAGTATAGTGTAGAGTAGTATACTAGTACACCACTAGTACAGCACTAGTGTATAGTGTAGTAAATAGTGTAGTGTATAGTGTAGTATACTAGTACAGCACTAGTGTATAGTGTAGTGTATAGTGTAGTGTATAGTGTAGTATACTAATGCAGCACTAGTGTATAGTGTAGTGTATAGTGTAGTATACTAGTACAGCACTAGTGTATAGTGTAGTGTAGAGTGTAGTATCCTAAGACAGCACACCGGTTGTGTGTTGGAGAGCCAAGCCACAACATTCGCATTCAGAGTTGCGACGTTTCGCCAGCAATTACAACCACGGGGCACGCAATTCCTGCAGTCACGAAAGCCTCAAATCAAGATCAATCAACAAACCAGCTTCATCGTCACGGATGATAGAGCTCGGGAAAGCCGACGCGGCGACGATGGCGAGATGCCACACTTTGTCGAGCAGCGATCAACATTCTAGAGGCCATCCAGCAGATTTACAAACACAGAGATAGCTTCAACCGAGGGGACGTACACACGAGCCGAGCAATCATTGGAAAGACGTTCTGAACCAGGTAAGCGTTGGTGTGCGGCGATTTTTTCAGGAATATTTTTGCTGGGTATTTTTTTTTTCTTCCACGGATTTTTTTGTTTGTTGGCACAGTCACACACAAAGTCGCCTTGAGACGTCCTTCTTGTTCGTGTTTTTGTTTCATTTTGTGTTTTGCCGCGGCTGCACTCCGATTCAAGAGCCGGATGGCTCACAGGGCTATACCAAAATAAATCAACTGAAAACCACCTTATTTACCGGGAATTGTTAAGTCTGTTTTACCGAGTCAATTGCATCCTCAGCATTTAGCAGTGCGGCTATTTGTGCTTTGGATGTCATCATCTATCTTGGCAACTCCTTGACTCTCAGCGTCTCTGCTGTACTTGCAGTGTGTACACTCCTCGCACTATTCCCCCCACCCCCCCTCTCTATCCTCCCCCTCTCTCTGACTTATTTAACTGCCCTAACCCTGGCCCCTCTCCTCCCACTTCAGTACGGCAAAAAAATGTCCTTGCTGTGGTTGTCACACCTGATGACGATGGCTTGTGTTGCAATCGAAACGTGGTGATTTCTTTATTTCCATTTTTTTATTTTTATCACCCACGTGACTTTAACGGAAGAACCAAAAAGGGTACAGCTGTCGACCATCGCCACCGGGGCCTAGGTGTAGGCCTCCTTGTTGTCTTGTTGACAAGAAAACATTGGAACTCTCCTAACATTACATCATTAGACCTCCTTTGCCAGTACCAAAATATAATAATAGGTTTTTTTTCCCCTTTTTTGGTGTCATCTGGTCGAGCACCAATCGGGTCGAGGCTCAAAAGAAAGCCATCCCTTGCTGTGGACCAATCAGTTTCAAGGACAATGCATCATCATATTATCATAGAATGTGTTTTTGTTTGCATTTTGACCGCAGGTATTGTGGTTAATGGGGTAACATGAATCCTCGAAAAAAGGTTTCAGTTAAGTTGCCAGAAAAAGGGGAAAAAACCCTATTAGTACTGGCAAAGGAGGTCTAATGATGTAGATGCTCACCCCGAGCCCTCATTACTTTGATAGCGGCATTGTCTTTGAGTTGGGTGACGCCTTTTGACGTCCTCTGGTCGAGCACCAATTAGGTCGAGGCTCAAAAGAAAGCCGTCCCTTGGTGTGGACCAATCAGTTTCAAGAACAATGCATCATCATATTATCATAGTGTATGTTTTTTGTTTGCATTTTGACCGCAGGTATTGTGGTTAATGCGGTAAACATGAATCCTCGTAAAAAGGTCCCAGTTTTGTTGCCCGAAAAAACTTTGGAAAGACCCTGTCATCATCTCCTAACGATCTCTGCATTTCTTTCGGTCAAGTCGCGTGGATAGGGGAAAAAAACAAACAAATAATGAAAAATAAAAACACGTAGGCTTTCGCGACCAATATTATTCATGATAAAGGTTTTTGGGTTAGGTCGCGATATTTATAAATGTGTCGTAACCCTCTCCACCACCCGACACGGCCAACCAGCGAAACGTCGTACAACTCAAACTGTAAATGTTGTGGATTCACTCTTCAACACACCGGTGGGCTAAAGTAGTGAACTATTTTTGTCTTTTGTCAACGTGACACACAATTTTTTTGCCGATTGGCCGTGTCGGGTGGTGGAGAGGGTTACGACACATTTATAAATGACGCGATCCAACCGCAAAAACATTTCATTATGAAAAATGAAAACCCGACGTTTCGGTCGCGACGACAGCGTCCGTCTTCGGGTGACGAGGACGGACAAGTGTCCACATGCAGACGGACGCTTGGGTCGCGACCGAAACGTCGAAACGTCGAGATTTAAAACACAGGAGCCCCCGCCCGCCCGCCCGCCCGCACCCCGACGGAAGACGAAGAGCGATACGCTGAATCCAGTCGCTGGAGGGGCACGATGCGGGACACTGCAGGGGGCTTGGGAAACCTTTTTCTTCTGCCGAGGGCCATTTGGATATTTATAAAACGTCATGCAAAATCATCAACTTCAAAATTAGCCACGTTTATATTTGGTCAAACGTTTCATTAACTCGCCCCCCTCCCCCCCGCCCCCCCCAATGTGATGGGCTGGAACCGCTTTAAATCTAGAATTAAATCTAGAATGGAACCGCTTCTCTTTAACGAGGCGTGGTGATGATGTTAGCCGGTACCGACGACGTTGTCGCTGCTGCTACTACTCGCGACCGCTTTGCCAGGCTTTTGCTCTCCTAGATTTATTGAATTTCGAGTCTTGGCAGGGCCAGGGACCCAAATGATTTCGCGGGCCTCGGGGACGGCCCTGCGGGACAGCGTAAAGGTGTTGTGAGCGCTGCGACGCGTGGCCCGTGATTGTGCACCGCTGGATGGAGGTAATGCCACGGGGTGGAGTGGGGGAGGGGAGGGAAGCGATGATTTTTGTCTATCTGGGTGACTTTGCCGAAAGATGCAGAAAGGAAGCGATGCATCGACACAAAATTCAGCGCGGGCTTTTAAAAGCTGATTCTGTAGCTGCCATCTCCGCGGTGGATGTTGTTCACAACCACCACCACGACACGCACCACCACCACACGCATCACCACCACACGCATCACCACCACACGCATCACCACCACACGCATCACCACCACACGCATCACCACCACACGCATCACCACCACACGCATCACCACCACCACCACACGCATCACCACCACCACCACACGCATCACCACCACCACCACACGCATCACCACCACCACCACACGCATCACCACCACCACACGCACCACCACCACCACCACCACACGCCCCACCACCACCACACGCACCACCACACGCACCACCACACGCACCACCACCACCACACGCATCACCACCACCACACGCACCACCAGCACAACGCATCACCACCACCACACGCATCACCACCACCACCACACGCATCACCACCACCACACGCATCACCACCACCACAACGCATCACCACCACACGCATCACCACCACACGCACCACCACCACAACGCATCACCACCACACGCATCACCACCACCACACGCACCACCACCACCACACGCATCACCACCACCACACGCACCACCACCACAACACGCATCACCACCACCACCACCACACGCACCACCACCACCACACGCACCACCACCACCACACGCATCACCACCACCACACGCACCACCACCACCACACGCACCACCACCACACGCATCACCACCACCACACGCATCACCACCACCACACGCATCACCACCACCACACGCATCACCACCACCACACGCACCACCACCACACGCATCACCACCACAACGCATCACCACCACCACACGCAATACCACCACCACACGCAATACCACCACAACGCATCACCACCACAACGCATCACCACTACCACACGCACCACCACCACAACGCATCACCACCCCCCAGACCGCCCCCCCCGCCGACCCCCCCCCCATGTATAACAATGATTCTCACTCGACACAATTACAAAGCGTGCATTAAACGAGAAATGCGAGACGAACGAGCAACGCGCCACCACCACAACAACAAAATGCAACAATTGCACTTTTTAAAGCAACGAGCGCACAAACAACAACAACAAAAATTATTAGCAACCATCGCCACCGATGGCGGGCGGAGGGGGGTGGGAAGGCCGAAGCCTTAGCTCTTTCCTAACCGTCTCGCCTGTCACGGTCTACCGCGCCGGGTAGGGACGGCCAGGCATAGGGGGGGGGGGGGGTGGTGGTGGTGGTGAGGTTGTCCCTCGGAGCGGATTTCAATCAAAACGAAACGAATGGCGAGCTGGCGTTGCAAACAAAACGCGCACGAAAGAAGAAGAAGAATAATAAGAAGAATAAAAATAACCAAACAAACGCAAAACCGTCAGCTCGGGCGGTTAACATAACAACAACAACACAACACACAAAAAAAATAATGAGCGGAGATAAATTTAAAAAAAAACGAACAAAAAAAATGTAACGCGAATTTTTTTTCATATATATATTTTTTAAAAACACACAAAAACACACAAAAATCCAACGTTGAAATCCGCTTCACCTGAGGAGACGACGGCGAGGCTTGAAGGAGGAGGTCCCCGCTACGAGTGAAGAAGCACCCGCCCCGCCCCCGCCCACGCCCCGCCCCCTCCCACGCCCCGCCCCCCACGCGCGCGCGCGCGAGACGGACCGACGTCGATTGCGCGCGTCGATCGAGAAGGCGGCCCGTGACGTCACGTGTTGTTGGTTGGTGCGGGGGCTGACGTCACGTGTTGTTGTTTGGTGGGGAGCGGGTGTGACGTCACATACACGCCCACGCCTTCTCCCCCGCGCACAAAAGGCGGGGGCGGGGCCGGGGGCGGAGGTTGTGGGTGGGGTGACGTCACTCGGAATCGGAATCGTGAATTTTTTTTGGACTTCAAACTTTCGCGGCTGCGGGAATTCATCTTCTTGGTAAATAATACAATTTAAAAAATATTAAACATATCTCTCTCTCTCCGCCTGATGAAGACCGCTTGTGTTGCGATCGAAACGTCGTGGGTTTTTTTGATTTTTTTTATTAAAGCTTTCGTGAATGCAGGAATTCATATTCTTGGTTATTTCGGTAAAGTCACCACCACGTAGAAGGGAAACAATAAAATAATAAAAATATAAAACCACAGCAAGAATTTGTTTTAAAAAATTGTTCTTGCTGTGGTTTTCACACCTGATGATGACTGCTTGTGTTGCAGTCGAAACGTCGTGAGAATTTTATTGTCTTATATTTTCATTATTTTATTGTTTCCCTTCTACGTGGTGACTTTACCGAAAGAACCAAGAATATGTACATATAGTTTTTAACATTTTTTATTTTATTTTTAATTTTCTACATTCGTGGTGACTTTACCAAAAGAATCAAAGAGTATATGGATCCCTCCAGTCACGAAAACTACAAATCAAAATGTAATAACAGGATTTTTCCCCTTTTTTCTGGCAACAAAACTGAAACATTTTTACGAGGATTCATGTTACTGCATTAACCACAACACCTGCAGTCAAAATGCAAACAAAAAACACACACTATAATATGTGATGCATCGTCCTTGAAACTGATTGGTCCACACCAAGGGGACGGCTTTCTTTTGAGCCTCGACCCAATTGGTGCTCGACCAGATGACGTCAAAAGGCGTCACACAACTCAAAGACAACGCCACTATCAAAGTAATGAGGGCTCGGGGTGAGCATCTACCTCATTAGACCTCCTTTGCCAGTAACAAAATATAATAATAGGGTCTTTCCAACTTTTTTCTGGCAACTTAACTGAAACCTTTTTACGAGGATCCATATTACTGCATTAACCACAATACCTGCGGTCAAAATGCAAACAAAACACATACTATGATAATATATGATGCATTGTCCTTGAAACTGATTGGTCCGCACCAAGGGGACGGCTTTTCTTTTGAGCCTCGACCCGATTGGTGCTCGACCAGATGACGTCAAAAGGCGTCACACAGCTCAAAAGACAACACCACTATCAAAGTAATGATGGCTCGGGGTGAGCATCTACATTCATGTTACTGCATTAACCACAATACGTGCGGTCAAAATGCAAACAAAAGACACACTATGATAATATATGATGCATTGTCCTTGAAACTGATTGGTCCACACCAAGGGGCGGCTTTCTTTTGAGCCTCGACCCAATTGGTGCTCGACCAATTGCGTCGAGGCTCAGAAAAAAGAGGAAAAACCCTATGATTATATTTTGGTACTGGCAAAGGAGGTCTAATGACACAAATCAAGATCTTTCGGTAAAGTCCACGTAGATAGAAAATATAAAATTTAATTTAAAATGTTAAAAATACGTACTCAATTTTGATTGAAAGCTTTCGTGACTGCAGGGATTCATATTCTTGGTTCTTTCGGTAAAGTCACCACCACGTAGAAGGGAAACAATAAAATAATAAAAACGTCGTGAGAATTTTTTTGTTTTATATTTTTATTATTTTATTGTTTCCCTTCTACGTGGTGACTTTACCGAAAGAACCAAGAATAATAATATGTACATATTCTTGGTTCTTTCGGTAAAGTCACCACGTAATGATACAAATCAAGAGCAATAATAATATGTACATATTCTTGGTTCTTTCGGTAAAGTCACCACGTAGAAGGGAAACAATATAATAATTTTAAAAAACGTCCTGAGAATTTTATTGTTTTATAATTTTATTATTTTATTGTTTCCCTTCAACGTGGTGGTGACTTTACCGAAAGAACCAAGAAAATGGGCGCTTGCGTTGCGTTCGAAACGTCGTGATTTATTTTGGGGGGTTTTTTTTCTTCTACCTACGTGATTTTTCCGAAAGAATCAAAGAGTATCTTAGCACCTGTTTTCTTTTGATTGAAAGCTTTCGTGACTGCAGGGATTCATGTTCTTGGTTCGTTCGGTAAAGTCACGTGTTGTTTTATATTTGTGTTATTTTATTGTTTCCCTTCTACCTGTTTTGTTTCCAGATGAAAGGGGAAAAACCTATTCTCAAAAAAACCACGTTGTTCTTCTTTGGTTCTTTCGGTAAAGTCACCACGTAGAATGAGAATAAAATAATAAATTGATAAAATAAAATGACACAATAAAAATTCTCACGACGTTTCGGCCACAACACAAGCGGCCTTCATCAGGTGAAGGGACGAGATTGTCTGGAGGACAGCGCTGGAGCGAAAAAGCCACGCTCAGATCGCGACCTTTAAGCTGTGTGAGAAGAATGCTTCAAGTCGTTTATTTACAAATTAGCTTCGCCACCCGGAATCATCGGGAATATTTATTTGGACCGCCGGAGGAGTATTCCGAAGCGCTATGAAGCTCTTTGTTTCGTTTTCACAGATGGCCCAGTAGAACTTCACAACAACAACAGTAACACAAACACGATAGGAGTGCAGAGTACAAGAGAGGGAAATGAATCACCCAGACACAAAAAAATACAACAGGGATTCATATTCTTGGTTCTTTCGGTAAAGTTGTCACCACGTAGAAGGGAAACAATAAAATAATAAAATATATATATAAAACAATAAAATTCTCACGACGTTTCGACTGCAACACAAGCAGTCATCATCAGAAAATTTGCTGTGGTTTTCGCACCTGATGATGATTGCTTGTGTTGCAGTTGAAAGGTCGTGATAATTTTATCGTTTTATATTTTTATTATTTTATTGTTTCCCTTCTACGTGGTGACTTTACCAAAAGAACCAATAATATAAAATACAACACTAAAGCATCCGCATCCTAGCAGACAAAGCCCCACTTTTTTTTTCAGAAGCGGCCTGGCCACTACCAATGATGGCTCAACAAATGTGGCCTCCATCATTTGGCAATTATAGCACCTGACATAATCAAAATAATCTAAATAATGGAGGAATCCGATAACCTATAAAGCTAAATTTCGTTTTAAAGCTTTCGTGACTGCAGGGATTCATATTCTTTGGGTCTTTCGGTAAAATCACGTAGAAGGGAAATAATGAAATGATAAATAAATAAAAATTATTCCAGTGAAATAATAAAATGATAAAAATAAAACGATAAAATTTTGTTATAAAGAAATAATAGAATGATATATTTTTTTTATGATTTTCATTATTTCCCTTCTACGTGACTTTACCGAAAGAACCAAGAATATGAACCTATAAAGTTCTTTGTTTGGTTCTCACAGATGGCTCAGTAGGGGAAACACACGGGGTAAGGGGCCGTCCATAAATGACGTCACGTACCTAGGGGGTGGTGGGGGGGGGGTCAGACATTTGTGACGATGTGTGACGAGGGGGGGGGGGGGCTTGAGAAATGTGACGTCACGTAAAAATGCGCAACTTTAAATAAATAAAGACAACACGTTCTACTTAATTAAATATACATCAGAGTGCAGCGCCACATTAAATACGCACTACAATGACAATTGTTTTAAAGCGATTTGAAGCATGTTTTATATATTTTTTGGGGGGGGGGAGGGGCAGAGCTTTGTGACATCACATTTGAGGGGGGGTCTGACTTTTTCTGTGATGCCGTGTGACGAAGGGGGGGGGGGGGGGGGTCAAAAATCGTTCAAAATCCCGTGACGTCATTTATGGACGGCCCCTAAGAACGTCACAACAACACAATACACAAACACGACAGTAGCGCAAAGCACTATCGTGACGTGTTTACCTTCACTGCGTACAATAGCATACAGCCACGACGCTAAACCATCCCCCATCCTAGCAGGCAAAGCCCCACTGAAGTACGGTGTCGTGGGTCTCTCCTTCCTTCTGCTCGAGACGCGTGTGTGTCGCGTGTGGCGTGTGTGTCGCAGAAACGCACACACGCCACACGCACGCTCAGTCGGAGACGATGCACGGTCCTCCCCTTGCGTTCGTTGTTCTTGGGCTCACGCCACCAACTCCGGGCCTCCGCGTTGCACCGACGGCGTCGACCGGGACGGCCAACCGCTGCCCGGGCCGCGCGATGCGCGGGCAGAGGAGGCGGCGACGAGGGCGACGATTGACGACGGCGGGTCCCCTCCCGGATCCGGCAGCCCGGAGCTCCCCGCTCTCCGCCTGCTTTTATTCCCCTCGGCGCCGCTTGGCTCCGCCCTGGCCGCGCCTCCCTTTCTCGGACCCACCAGAGGGGTTTCGGGGGGCCTGCCCACGAGGTCCACCGTGAACCCTTGCCCCAGTTCCTCCGCCCTGCCGGGACACACACACGCACACGCACACAGTCCGCGTATATCCTCAGCGGCGTGCGCGATAAGTGTCTACCTGCAGTTGCAGCCGCCGTACAACAGTCATCGCTATGTCACTGCAGAAGTAGTAACTTCATTTGAAGTGTTAACAAATTCTTTATTTTTTTTCTTTAAACTATGAACTTTTTTTTTTATTTCATCATGTGCAATGCGGCTGTTAATCAGAAGTGAGCACCTGGCCGTCACAAATGTGCCTCGACCAAAGGGAGGTGACGCCACTCTGGGGGCAGAATCATCAGAATCGGAATATTTATTTGGACTTCCGGACGAGAAATCCGATGAGCTGTAAGCTACGTCAGGGTCGGGGTCGAAACCCACGACCTCCTGCATAGCAGGCGAGGTAATTAACATCCTGCCACCGTGGCGTGAATATTGATACCGGGGCACGGGTTAAGAACGTCGAAACAACA